TTCAGTTTTACCTTGACGGTTTTGTCATCATACATGACCCATCGATCATGGTCATGACTGTATGCAAAACAATGATAATGTTGTCCGTAATAGCACACCTGAAGAATGCAAAAAGTTAGAAAGTAAGATGTGAGATGCATGAACAAATTTTCAGAAAAGGACCATCAGAAAAATACGAAGACGGGGAACAAAAAATACGCACCACTGAAACTAAGCTGTAGGTGTTCTTAGAGTCTAAACCACGGTACATGATGCTGATGTCTATCTCCGTATTCAAGGCTTCCAGAGTAGCTACTATGTCTTCTGCAGTTTCGCAAGTGTTTTGCCAGCCCATAACTGCAAGTCCCAGGCGAAAATATATCTTAAAAGTTCGAAGGCATAATATTTGTGAGCTGAGATAGTAATTGCACGAAATATACCGGTTGTAAAAACATGTGGTGGTGTCGAGAGAATGTGGTGGATATAGTTGGGTTTCCCACACCCACCAGCTTCAGGATCACAAGCTAGTTGATGGTTCATCTCGACAAAATTTAGAAGTTCCTCGAATGAACTTTCTGCACACATAACCTGTTAGGCAAAGACAATCGAGTTAAGGGGTTACTGGTTAGTCGTTATGTGTTCCTGAAAAGTGTTAAGTTTGCAAGCATTTGAATGCCAAAAAAATTACCTTCATGGTGCGTAGAGCGCTAGCATTGATGTTATGGAAAAAGGAAGTGTACTTCAAATGCCTGGACTCCAGCCCACAGCTGAAGCAATTCATTTGTTCAAAAATGTCCATTCCAAACAGAGAATGGACAATACATGTGCGGTTTGTGCAGTCCCATGAACCCATACAGTTGCTTTCAGAAGATTCTGTGTCAGAAACACTTGACACTTGAGCAAATGCCCGATGAAGGCAGTCGAAGATTACTGCAAGTACTTCTGATGCATCGTTCATCTGAGCCTGCCACAAAAACATGGGCTTAGCTAAGGCTCCTCAACAGGAATGATAGCACAGATGATTCCATAGGGTAAAACTTTAAAACCATAGAAAAGCCTTTTACCTCTTGGAAGAAACTGCTCTCTGGATATAGGTTGCTTAAAGCTATCCTGAGTGATGTAGGGGCCACAGGTTCTTTCCGTGTTTCAGATGTAGCAGCGCTTAAAGCTGTGAAAATTTCATACAGCGCGCAGACAACACAAGGATCTCCCACATGATGATGATCTAGAGTTGATCTCCGTAAGAATTCAGCTCGAAACTGTCTCAAATGCCATAGAGACTTGAGATAGAACAAAGAAATCAGGATTCAGGAACGAGAATGGTTGAAAGCCAGCCAGCTGATATAGACAATACCCGGAAATATGAACCACTATGTGCATGAAGTTACCTGTATGATAACATTCAGAAAGCAATTGTACTCTCCAACTTCATTTTGAAGACCAGTACCAAATACGTCCGAATGTACGGAATCCTGAGTCTTTTCTCCCACGATCACATCAGGTTTAAGCACATCATTGTTTAATTCCAGAGCTGTTCTCTCAGGTGTCCTCACACTTGATGGCATTTTTCTTAGCGCCTGGTAAGTATCTGAGTTGAAAACGGGTCTGTTGTCAGATATCTTAAGCACAGCAGGGAGTATCTTTTGTTCCAAATAAATCAGAGATACAAGAGATCAATAGATAGTTCTAAGCAGTTGCTGGAATTAATTACTGGCAAAAGGGTAGTGATGAACAATTGCAAAAGTCAACTATGAGATTTAATATATAACCAGAAAAATTACCAAGGCTTTGGCGCACTGCTTTTTTAAGGTCAGCCTGGAACCTTTCCTCTTCATCCTCTTCAGCTTGTAATTGTCTCAACGTTTTTGTTCCAACATCTAAAACGCCAGGTTAAATTATTTCATGTAACATGAAAGATACTAGGAGATGTTTTTACATTTACATAAAGTGAATAGGATCAATATACACAAAGCAACATCAACATAAACACTGTTGTTCCTACATGAGCAAGACTGGAAATTTGAAGAACAAAAATCACCAATCCTGGCTAACACCAGCTTTATGAGCTGAGTTCAGGCCACTTATGCTTTACCGCAATACAAAAAGGGTGTGAAAAACTGATCATTTCACCAATATGGAATTACCCAAGAATGTATTACAGCCACTACATCCTGCCATGACCCCTTAAAAACACTGCAATTATAAACTTGACCATTAATTCAGACAGTGCAATCACATAACTAAATTCTACCGTGTATTGGTAGATGCAATCTTTATAGCTAGGTAGGTCATCAGCTCTACAAATATTTAGAAGCTACCCAACAGTTCTAACTGTAGGGCAGTTCCAACCGGACAAAGCAGTTCAGTAGTACGTTCACTGGCCATTTGCCAAACCTAACAAGTTCGAAAATTAGCAGTTGAGAGAAACAATAAAGAAAGAGAAAAACCAAGTCAAATAATCTCCTCTATCAATAATATTGCCGACACATAGCAATCATAAGACATGCAAAAACAAGAGAAGACCCAGAACTAAGAGCCAGAGAACAAAGACCTACCACCATTTCTGAGTATAATTTCTGACGGTCTCTCATGACCCCCAGTCCCGGGTTTACAAGAATCACCATTTTCCTTCTCAAGAGGTGTGACCTGATATTTTCCATCAACCAACTTGTTAGAAACTTTTTGGCGTCTACTCCTCCTTCCCGCCCGTTGATCAGATTGCAAAATACCAGCCTGAGTAGCTGTTCCATTAGCCATTGCTGCAACAAGAACAAGAATTGAAATATCACAAATTGTCATTACATACTTATATTACAATAACAAGATTAATGCTAACCTTTTGGAGATTTTCCATGCTGCACCCTTTCAGCATCATAAGCCACAGATGAATTAATTGGCTGCAAAATACCATTTGTATTCACTGTGGGGCCTTCCAAGTTATCAAGTAACCCATTATTCAGAATCCAATTCTCCTGGAAAAGTAACCCAAAAATCCTTTCAGTGGTATTTCCAAATTTGACACAACCCAGTCGTTCCAAAGACACGATGTAACACCTTATTTACCTCACTAATGGATTTTTCTTGTTCTTGGACATCTAAATCGTCAGAGACAGTATCATAGGCTGCATCAGCATCCTTCAATGGAACTGGAGAGTTGTATTTCTTCTGTTGTTCAGCAAGGTGCTTCTGTTTAGCTTCATTCTCTATTTGCCTCTGATACTCTAGAGTTTCTTCAAGCTTTCTCGCCTCTTCTTCAAGTTCAATTTTGCGTCTGTATTCCTCGTCCTCTTCTTTCAAAGTATCAACAGCTCCGGAAACACCTTCAGCCTTGGAATGATCATTGTAAGATGCAACTGGAGAAGATCTGTCACAAGAAATCATCAAGAAGATCAATTAGTATATCATTCATTTTCAGTACTTTGGAAGAAAAACATTCCAGATTAAACACCATCCAGCGCTGGATAGTTTGTAAAGAACATATTTACACCTGTGCTCAACTGAATCATTGTTGAAAAGATGCTCACCGCCAACAGTAGTCTGCAACAAAAAGAAAATATTTACATCTACTTACAGGTATAAACATGAAATAGATATGAAGTCGATGCCGAAACAATTCTAACTGAAACCTTTGAATCTTTTGTTTTCCTGCTATCTTTATTCTTTTTCTTATCCTTTGACTTTTCCTGTACATGTCTTGAATTATCATTCTTGCTTTTGACATCCTTCTTAGAATCAAGAGCAAGTTCCACAAGAAATGCCTCCCGTGCGGCATCAGACTTCTCAGTGGCATCTTTTTCAGCCAATGCCTCCAAATGTGCCTGGAATGATAGAACAAGATGCAAACACTTTTTCAGAATCAACATTGACAAAAGGAGAGGAGAGTCAAGTTGACATGGCGTAGATACTTACACGCATGTAGGACTTCACCAAAGACAGCAGCACTGTCTGATAATCATTGGAGGAAACAGGTCCAAGCTTCAGCTCTAATTGTTGCATCCCGGTCACATTCCGCATCATCCGTGCATCAATTTTGCTAAGCTGCAATAACAGACATACAAAATATCATTTTAGAAGATAGGCAGTACTAATTTTCTCAGTGAGATTGCATATAAGAAAACAATTTTACCTCAGCAGACAATTGTTCTTTCTGTTTTTGAATTGCGATCTCTATGAATGTATCAGCCTGATTCAAGGAATCCTTCATCCTCCATTCATCAGCTTCACCAGATTCCAGATCGCATAGTTGAGGGCTCACACTGCCGTATGACTCTTCATATCCAAATTGATTGGCATTCAGAGATTCAGCTTCTTTCAAAACATTTGTCAAAGCATCCAACTCAAACCTATTACTGATGAACACCAAATCATGGTCACTTTCTAGCAGCTCTTCTCTCCGCTTTCTTAGCACAATGTCATAGCTATCACGGACAAATTCTGATGAAGCCTCCCTCTTCCGGCCTTCTTCAAGACAGAGACCCTCAACCACCTGCAGCGCTTCCTCATAGCTTAAGTGCTCACATTTTCTCTCGCAAAGATTCTGAAGGTGACAAAACTCCTTCTCGAGAACCTGCATAATCTCCAGTCCTTGACGCGTTTTCTCTTCTTTTGTACGCATCCACGACGCTATCTGTTCCCCGCTTGAGGGCCCTGTGAAGATCCACGAAAGAAATCCATCTGCACCAAAAGAGACACTGTTTCCGTTTGCAATGCGTCTGGAACATCCTGTGGCTACACTATCTGAGGCAGAGCCCATATCCTTCTCTTGGGTACACTCGGTGCCAATCAACTTTTCATCCAGAAGGAGATATGAACCTTCGCCATCAAGAAGAATCTCCTCTGCAAGTTCACAACATTGGCCACTGCCATTAACATCATCATTAGGTGTACTTTTATCATATCGATTTAATCCACAGGAATGTGCCAGGTCCTGCAAGAATTTGAGGATTTTCCTGAGCTGAGGAGCTCCCAAAAGACATATGCATATGGGTGACTGCTCCAAACCACGGTTCAAGACCTGTGAACTAGAGGCTAGATTGTGAAGTTCATCCAGAGTAAACTGAATGACCTTGTTAAGATGGCTAGCGGCCAAATATTTGTATCTTATAAGGAGCTCAAATGCTGCACGAACTTTTTCCAGGAGCTTTGCACATTCAGGATCATTGGATAACGGCCACCCATCAGGAGGAAATGAAAATGACACCTGATCCCCTTCAGTCCCATTAACACCAACATTGAAGTTCTCGCCACAGCTGCTGCTGTCTCTGGTTCTAAAGCTGCAAGCGACCCCTAGGTTTTCCTTCTCAGGTGAAGAATCCCATGCATCCTTGAAACAGTTGTCACTGCAATCCATGTTATCTCTAGAGTTTAACTCATAAAGCTCAGAATTTGGGCGTTTTGGCCGATTGCCAAGCATTTGAACTGCAGCTGATAGATCCAATGGTTTCCATGTGCAATTCAAAAGCATCTCAATCCACTCATTGTCAATGCTTTGAGGCAAAACCGCTTGCATCTTCGGCAGCTCGTTCCCCATATGCTCCTGCACGACATGCTGCATATGAGACTCAGCATCCGTAAATTTCTCATTGCACCGGCAGCAAACCCAGAACCTCCATGTCTTGTTACATTCATAGAAGGACAAAGCTTCGGTAATAATCTCGTTCGCTTGTCCATCCTTAAACAAACTAAAGTGACCCTTAACGTCACTAACCTTAACCCTAAGCAAGTCTCTCTTCATTTGGTTGCTCATAGAATCCCAGTACGACCTAACCCAATCGCTCCTCTCAGTTGTGGAGCCATTTTTCCTCGAGTTCCCATGCTTCGACCTCTCCCCACCTCTCTGTCCAGAACCTAATGCCGAATCTGATACCTTGTTGTTACTATTTCCTTCATCCTGTAGGGGAGAAGACTCAGACTTCTGCTGCAGCAACCTAGCTGCTGCCACCCTCACTTCAATCTCCTTCCTCCTCTCTTCAGGAGTCTTAGTAGCTTTCTTAATCTCATTTGGTCTCCTGGTCTGAACCAACCTACTCTCCATTGGATCCTCAGCTATTCTCCTAATGGGAATCAACCGAAACTTCTCTTCCCCATTACTTAGGTTTTTCATCCATGTGGATAATGAAGCTATATTAGATTTTTGTATCAGCGACCTGAGCTCATCCTGAACATGAGCTACACGGGCCTCAGCGGACGATATCTTCTGCTGACTCTCATCTTGAAGGCTCTCCTTAGCAGGATCTATCGGATTCTCTATCGAAAGTGCCCGTTGGCACTCTTGCACGACCTCCTCATACTCTTTGCCATCATTGGCAGCCTCATAGAGCAGGTTCGCGTAGAAATGCCCAAACTCAATTGAGTTGGGCGAAAGTTCCACAGCTTTTCTAGCCGAATCAATGGCATTACGCAAAAACCTCTGTTTAGTAGCTGGATCTTCGTAGACTGAAGCAACCTTGACGCACAAAGTGCCCTGAACCCGGTGGATCAGGGCAGAATCTTGGTGGCGAGAGCAAGATTCCTTCATGAGCCGAATCGCCTTGTTATAGCTCCCTCGCCGAAATGACGTCAGCGCCTTCTCGCACTCGAGCTTGATCACAGAATAAGACGAAACCTCCTTAGCCGAATCCGACGGTTCTGTCCTCACGCCGCGTTGGGAACCTTGGCGCCTATTGAGCGCACCGACCGGAATATCGGAAGGGTCGGACTCCACCGCACTGGAAGGAGTCGCCGTCGTCGCCGCCGCCGCATCCGCCGGCGATTGCTTGGGGCGAGGCGCGGGGTTTTTCTTCTTATGACCCATCCACGATTCAGCTCAGAAAAAAACCAATCGACATGAAGAATACACAGATGTGTACATATACACACGTCTGTGTGTATATACGCCTCAGCAAATGGACGAAGAGAGACTTACTCGTTGAAATGCAGGGTCAAATCGGAAACTGAGAACGGAAGACGTCGTTCGAAGATTCCGGCGGCTAGCACGGCGGAGGATCGGTAGCGAAATCGGAGAGAGAGAGAGAGTGGAGGAGTCGTTGTGGTGTCTGTGTTGGAGTTCGATGGCGGAGGACGAGAAAACCAAAAAACCAAAAGGAAGCATAAGAGTGATTAAGGGAAGGGATCGTAATCGTATATACTAATTTGTGAATTTTCGATCACGCACCTTGATTATCAGGTATTTACATATTAACCCCAAAACTTTGATGGGGTTTCGTTTTTGCCTATATTTTTGGTAGGTTGAGTTAAGAAATCGATTTCTCGACAAATAATTTATGCTTAAAGATTGGACTACATGTTATTTAATTTGAGGCTTTTTTTATTAATTAATTCGTCATGGCTCTAACCAAGATTAGGAAGCATAAGCTTGAATGGATGTTTTATCTAACTTAGTATTTGTCATATTTATAGTTTTATGTATTTTGTGGGATCCTTTATTTTACAATTGTAATTGCCATAGAGATCACACAAATTCGACACCAACTTTGAGTTGTCTTGATATCATGAAATTGACTTCCAGAGAGAAGAGAGAGAGAGAGAGAGAGGATGATGTTAAAAGCATTAAACACGCATAGGATTATAATGACATGGCATGAATTGTACCATCGGACCATGATGCTTAGACATGAAATCAAATATATTAAAAGAGCACAAGTACAAGAATAACAAGGGCGATTACAGAGTGTATGCGTTTTTCAATGGCAAGACCCCCAAGAAAACAGAATGACAGAAAGAAAAAAAAGAATGAATGAATCTGTAAACAGGTGGGAGAAAGACAAGCTCGTGTTTTGCTTCGAGTTGAAGAAACAAAACAGCAAGCTCCTTCTTGTCTCTCAGCCTTTGCTTAAATCAAACCCGGAAATTCAGCAAGAAGAAGAAAGAAGAAGAAGACTTACCATGGATTCGTACCGAGCCCTACAAGAAGTTCTTCCTACCATTCACAATCTAACTCTTCAAACCCGGAAATCCAGCAAAATGGAAGAGGCTTACCATGGATTTGAACCGAGCCCTAGAAGAAATTCTTCCTACCATTCACAATCTAGCTCTTCAATTTGCTATCTACATCCAGTCCAACATCAAACTCTCTTTCTTTGCTGCAACATTCAACTTATGAAACCCCACCAAGAACTCTCTTGAGCTCGGATTTCTGCTCTGGTGTGAGCCTTGATGGATATCTCACACTGAGCTTTATTCTCAAATTTCCCTTTTTTCCGGGTTCTTTAGAGATTGGCATCCCTTCATTTGGAACAACGATCTCATAATCTGGCTTGACGATATCGGTTAGTGGGATCATGAGATTCCTTCCGTCGAGGGTGATGAGCTCAAGGGTTTTACCGGTCAGTGCTTCAAGTAATGTTACCTCCAGGTTGGCTACAAGATCATTACCATCTCTCTTGTAAACAGAATGTTGTTTCTCTTCTACCACAAATATGAGATCTGCTGGTATGACTCCTGGCTCCTCATTGCCTTTGTCCGGAAACGTGATCTTCGTGCCTTTCTTCCACCCAGGCTTTATTTCAATGGTCAATATCTCCTCGACAGTCCTCATCTTACTGCAAGAAGAAGGAAAGATATGAGATAGTAAGATACAGATCGAAATATTTGGGTCACGCGATTAGAGCAAGCAATGGGATCCTTGAAATATGAGAAATTATCTGGACTTGTTCATACACCATTGCCCTCTGGATGTTATCTCTCAGAAGCATAACTACAATCTGTTCTCTACAGTGATCATGTTTCATATGTTCAAGTTCCCTCATACACAAACTTTAGGACAGAACTCATCGACATGCATAATGGCCTTCACTATATATACCTACAATAAGGAGAAGGGCATATAATAATCTCAAAGCAGGAGCATTTCCTGGTCTTGCCTGAATAAGGGCTTAACTTGATCAGTGATGCAACATTAAACATGAAAATTTTGCATTAAAAAATGCCATCTTTCGTGATTTATTATGTCTTCCTCTGTTGATAACACTGCCTAATCCCTTCATTCCAGAATAAAAACATAAGTTAGCCGTCAATTTGCTTCGTTCGGCTGGATTGTTTGTTGCTCTGTAAAACTCCCAATACTTTACCATAGCGGGAGAACAAAGTACCCTTTTCTAAACAGCAGTTTCTAGATTTGGTAATAATGTATTCCCATCAGAGAAAATGGCACTGCCCGTGTAAATCTATCATTGTTCAGAGGCTCTGCTTAGGAATAGATAAAGAGTGGCTCGTTAAAAAGATTTCCTGTCTTCTAACCTCTACCAGATCCCAACATCAGATGTGAACAAGTTATTCAGACTCTATCAATACACTAACCATCCACCATACGCGTAATCTTGTTCCTGCATGAGTTCATGAATTCGACTAAAAGGATTCCTTACTGTTACATTCGATCCTAATCTTCACCCGCGGTTCTTCCGCGATATCAGTGCCTAAAGGAATGCATCTAGCTCCTGATTCTTCCCTCGGCTTCCTAAGATTGTATAAACAATGAGGAGGAAGAGAAAAAAATCAGAAAGCAAACATACCCAGAGGTATCATAGACATTTCTGGAGATCCTCATCTTCTTCTTAGCACCCTTGTACAAGTCCTCCAAGCTACATAGCAATGGATTCTCCACGGCAGGCGCTTTCCTCGTTTCAGCACCATAGTGACCGCCATCATTCACGTAGAAAACAGGCGCATATATATATATATATCATGTGTCTTGATATGCGTGTCGGATAATAAATGCATGAGAAAACAATATCCAAGTTTTTTATTACAAGGTCGGGATATTAGAGTTTTTTTCTTATATAAAATAAAACGAGTGACGGAGTATTCAATGAATTACGGACCGATGAGTCAAAGATAGATATCATCCGTAGATGACTTATGTTCCCCGGTCCTTCGCTCTGGTTTTGTCCAAATAGATTTTTTTACGGAAAATAAAATAAAATAAAGTTATTTTTTCTTAGTTCCTTAGACAAAAATTCAAGCAGACAACTTGACCAATTGACTTGAAAAACCGGCGCGTGCAATTAACGTTTTCATTAAAAATTTTAAAATTATAATTAAATAAAAATTATTCGCATCCTCTCTAAAAACAGTGGCAGTAGTAAGGGCAACACACGCATGTGCGTTGTGAAGCCGAAATTGAAACTCCAAATTTAAAAAATAATAATAATAAATAGCACCATAGTGACCGCCGCCGCCGCCGTTCTTAAAGTACCCGTCCTTATAACCCCTGTTTCCTCTCCCGCCGCCGCCGCCGCCGTCGGATCCAAAGAACTCGGCGTAGATATCCTCCGCGTCCCTCGGGTTGAAACGAAACGACGCCGCGTTCGGAGGATGCTGCCGATGCGGGTGGTGGACGTTGAAGTGCGGCGACGCGCGGGACGAGGAAGACGCGGCGGAGGACGAGGAGGAGGCGGTGGATGGCGGGAATTGGCCCGATTTGAGGCCTTCCTCGCCGTAGAGATCGTAGATCTGCCGCTTCTTCGGGTCGGAGAGGACGTCGTAAGCCTCGGAGATCTGCTTGAACTTGGCCTCTGCCTCAGGCCGCCGCGCCGAGGGATTCTTGTCGGGATGCCAGATCATAGCGAGACGTTTGTAGGCTTTCTTCAGATCCTCATCCGTCGCGTTGTGATTCACCTTCAGAATGTTGTAGTAATCGACCCCCATCTCTCTGTCTCTCTGTCTTGTCAATCCGTATGTATAGGCGTATGTATCGCCCGCCGTCGTGAACTTCCCGGCCGTTCACGGTGGTCCGCGGTCGCCTGATAAATGGGAGAACAAAGAGAACGGAAAGCTCGCGGAGGGGAGGGAGGGACAGTATATACGTATGTGGCGTATTTCGTAAATAAATTTATTAATTCATTTTATGTTATTTTATTTTTCTGTTAAATGACGTGGGTACCACGTCATAGACGGAAACGTGCGGCTGGCGAATGGGATTTAGCGTTTGAAAATCCAATTATCTGACGTGGACCGTTTCATAATGTCAAAAATATCTTACTATATATATAGAAACAAATCATGCTTAATGAATAGATTGATTTAGTTACGTGTTAGACTCTAAATAATCGATAGTCCAACAATATATAACACAACCTATTATAATATGGATGTCGTGGCATGGTACTAAATGGGCACGTACAAAACTTATAATAATAATAATAATAATAACATTTAATTGGGTCCATTCGCGTATTCAAAATGGTAACGATGACGATGCTTTCTGATTATGATATTGTTTTCTGTCGATTTATATGGTCCGATTTGTGGGCCTTGTCAGAGGAAAAACTAATCTGCAACAAAGCCCATGAAAGGATTGCAATAGAGCGGATAGGGCCCACAAGACGATACATAACCGGCCACAAACCGGTCCAATCCATAAAATTTCACACACACACCCAATTCATATATTTATAGTCTTGCATATTAAAAATCTGTAATTTTATGCAACTAACGCTACTAGAAGATTACAGGTGACAAAGATGAAAGGTAACATGGACTCTCCATATTTATTTAATTTAATTCGATTGATATAATTAAGAGAGTGCGCTCTACACCTCTAACCCAACAAGATATATGTACAGTTGCGTGCATACGTCAAATTCCAATAAGAAAACAAAAACTAAAAGCCATAACCTTTTTTGGGTTTTGGTTCAAAAGCAACAAACTTTATATAATTACAACATGCGATTTAACTTTTAAATTTTATTAAATAAATAAAAAAAGAGATAACAGAGTGGACGAGTGGAGTGTCCTGTTCTACGGACGGGTACCGTACGGAAACGGTACCTTTAAAAAAAAAAAAGAAAAAGAAAAGAGGGGAGAGAGGGAGTCACGTGGGTTGGGCCTCCTGCTTTGATAATTCTGGCGTCGTGCCAAAACGGAGACACCTAATTCCAACCGACCCCGACACGTGCCACATGTCCCCGTGGGCCCCACACCCCCGTTTCATGCACATGTATTTTTGCTCTCGCGGGTCCCGCCCTTTATTAACCTTTTTTTGCCCGAAGGTAAAGGATTATCAGCCAAATTAATTATATTACTGAAATTACTAATTATAGTAACGTGTGCATCTATGCATAGTTCGGTGAACCACTCTAGGTTTTTCGCGGCAATTGAAAATGGAATTGAGTTTAATATCTACGAGATCGAGGGGAAATGTATATACATATGCATGTGTGTGTGTGTGTGTGTATCGTCTGAATTTATATTGTCAGCAGCGACCTGTTTTCTGTATCAATTAAAAGAATTTATATTACATTTAATTGGGTCCATCATTCACGTAGAAAACAGGCGCATATATATATATATATCATGTGTCTTGATATGCGTGTCGGATAATAAATGCATGAGAAAACAATATCCAAGTTTTTTATTACAAGGTCGGGATATTAGAGTTTTTTTCTTATATAAAATAAAACGAGTGACGGAGTATTCAATGAATTACGGACCGATGAGTCAAAGATAGATATCATCCGTAGATGACTTATGTTCCCCGGTCCTTCGCTCTGGTTTTGTCCAAATAGATTTTTTTACGGAAAATAAAATAAAATAAAGTTATTTTTTCTTAGTTCCTTAGACAAAAATTCAAGCAGACAACTTGACCAATTGACTTGAAAAACCGGCGCGTGCAATTAACGTTTTCATTAAAAATTTTAAAATTATAATTAAATAAAAATTATTCGCATCCTCTCTAAAAACAGTGGCAGTAGTAAGGGCAACACACGCATGTGCGTTGTGAAGCCGAAATTGAAACTCCAAATTTAAAAAATAATAATAATAAATGAAAGGTTTTGTTGCATTTATGAACCACTCATTCATTATTTGTAACTTACAAATAAGGTGCAAAGAACAGTAATTTATTCATTGATATTCTCATTTCCGATTATTCTATTTTAAGGTTTTGGAAATAAAACTACGAAAATAGTTAATTAAAAAAAGAACAAAAAATATATAAAATGAAAGGCTTTAGTTGCATTTATGAACGTATTGTCTGTAACGTACAAAGAAGGTGCAAAGAACAGTAATTTATTTATTTATATATATACCCATTTCCGATTATTCTATTTTAAGTTTTTGGAAATAAAACTACGAAAATAGTTAATTAAATAAAAGAACAAAAATGAAGGAAAAAAATTGGACGGGAAAGGATAAATAATATAATGATTTATGAGGAGGTCGGAGAGTGTTAGCTGATTTAGCTCTCGCTCTACCACTAACCTCAGCGGTTTCCCATCCTCCTGTCTTTGTTTTCTTTTCCCGTTTCTCATTATTTTTCCATGTTTTGAGAAAGAGAGGAAGAAGAACCGACTCGAAGATAATCTCAAGATCAAGTTTTTGCGACTGGGTATTCATGATTTTTCTGGGGGTTTTTTCCTCGAGTTTCAGGTGGTTCATCCATGGCGGTTTTCTGAATATATGGGTTTCTGATATGTTATGTCTGTTTTTCTTGCAGCGAGCACTGAGCAGCCAAACATGGGGGACAAGACTGAAGTTCTTGAGGCTGTCTTGAAGGAAGCCGTGGATCTGGTAACAGATCTGCTCAAAACCTTTTGATTTCCTCTGGGTATTTCTGTGTGGGTGTTACATCAAAATCTGTCAGAGAAAAAAGAAAGTCTCAGCCTTTTTTTTTCTCTCTTCTGGGATGTGCAGGAAAATGTGCCAATCGAAGAAGTTTTCGAGAATCTGAGATGCAGCAAGGATGGTCTCACTACACAAGCTGCTGATGAGAGACTTGCCCTCTTCGGCCATAACAAGCTCGAAGAGAAAAAGGTGCAGATTTTGTTTGCTTTCTGTCATTTCCATGTTTTCTTTGGGGAGTTATGAAGGTAGCCCTTTCAGTTCACTCTTTGTTTTTCCTTTTGATCTAATTTCTTCCGTGTTTCTGAAATTTTTGCCAAATCATTTATATCTTCTTCCGGCTATTTCCTTGGGAGATTTCTGCACTTAAACTTCTTGAGCTCTCCCCCCTGAATTTGATTTTTTCTTTATGAAGTTATATGTTATACACACTCGCTTTGCTTCTGGTTGCCTTCCGTTAGGACCAAAGTTTGGATCTTTTTAGGGGTTTGCCTCTGAATTTGCCATTTTTGAGGTGAATGAAGTTCTATGTTCTTAAGTATGCCGCCATTTCTTTGTTATTGTTTTTTGTAGGAGAGCAAATTTCTGAAATTTTTAGGTTTCATGTGGAACCCTCTTTCCTGGGTCATGGAAGCTGCTGCCATCATGGCCATTGCCCTTGCTAATGGAGGAGTGAGCATATCCGACCTTCTTACATCCATTTTCTTTGAGAAAATTATATTATCGGAGCTCTTTTTTATGTCTTCTTTGGTCCTTGTTATGATTATGATTGCCAGGGAAAACCTCCTGATTGGCAAGACTTTGTTGGTATTATCACCCTACTGGTGATAAACTCCACCATTAGTTTTATCGAGGAGAACAATGCTGGAAATGCTGCCGCTGCTCTCATGGCCCGTCTTGCCCCAAAAGCTAAGGTTCTAGCTTTCTTATGCCTTGATTACAATTTGATGCCTAGGTTACAATTGTTACATTATTATATCTTGTTGTGTGGTTTCAGTGTTTTAGTTTCAGCTAACGTTATGCTTTTTCTTTATGTAATATATGTTTTCTATTTCTATTCTTGCAATTGTTCTTAAGGTTCTTCGAGATGGAAGGTGGAGCGAGCAAGACGCTGCAATTCTTGTCCCCGGTGACATAATCAGCATCAAACTTGGGGATATCATTCCGGCTGATGCACGTCTTCTTGAGGGCGATCCCCTTAAGATCGATCAGGTTTGATTCTAACCACCATTTTGATTGCCCGTTATACTGCAGCAGCAGATGTTAGAGCTTTAATTTTTGGTTAATTAATGGGTAATGCTTTCAATCTCTTCTCACTTCTGATATTGTGATGAACCTTCTGTTCTGTAGTCTGCTCTTACCGGTGAATCGCTCCCGGTGACCAAAGGTCCTGGGGATGGTGTGTATTCCGGATCTACTTGCAAACAGGGAGAAATCGAAGCAGTTGTCATTGCTACCGGCGTCCATACATTCTTTGGAAAGGCTGCCCATCTTGTTGATACCACCAACCAAGTTGGCCACTTTCAAAAGGCATGCATTCTCTAGCATCTTTACTGGAATTTGTCATCTTACCTAGTTTAAGGCTTTTTCTCGGGTTTTCTTGTGTTCTATTATTTATACATGAGTAATTTATTTTGTTCTTTCTGATTCATATACAGGTCTTAACTGCCATTGGGAACTTTTGCATATGTTCTATCGCTGTGGGAATGATCATCGAGATCATTGTTATGTATCCAATTCAACACCGGGCATACCGACCTGGAATTGATAACCTTCTTGTGCTTCTCATCGGTGGAATTCCTATTGCCATGCCTACGGTTCTGTCTGTCACTATGGCTATCGGCTCTCACAGGTTATCTCAGCAGGTTAGACATATACAATTCGCAGTCCATTTCTCATGGTTTTAGCCCCTTTTTTCCACTATCTATGAGAGAAAAGTTTTTTTCTTCACTAGTTATGATATGAAGTTTGAACATGATTGACATTGGATAATATATTGGAGCTTGGTGATCTTCTATCTTAACTTTTTTGTACTGAAAGTTGAGCATTTCTGGCACAGGGTGCAATCACTAAGAGAATGACTGCGATTGAGGAAATGGCCGGCATGGATGTGCTCTGCAGCGACAAGACTGGTACCTTAACATTGAATAAACTCACTGTTGACAAAAACCTTATCGAGGTAATGTACGGATGAATGCCTTTGCCCAAGAATCCTGAATTTTGACGATGTTTCTGAATGGGCACAAGCTTCTGGCGTATAGGTGTTCATGAAAGGAATAGATGCGGATACTGTTGTCCTGATGGCTGCCCAAGCCTCTAGAGTGGAGAACCAAGATGCAATAGATGCTGCCATTGTTGGAATGCTTGCTGATCCTAAAGAAGTATGTGGCTAAAACCCCATCTTTCCCTCAAAAATTGTTCTTAAATTTTGATGTCTTCTAATATCATATCTCTGTTTCTGTTTTGCTTCTTTGGTCCTTCTGGTCTGTGTCTTCCATAGGCGCGGGCTGGAATTCATGAGGTTCACTTTCTTCCCTTCAACCCTACCGATAAGAGAACAGCTCTAACATATATTGACAGTGATGGTAAAATGCATAGAGTCAGCAAAGGTGCCCCTGAACAAGTAAGCCCTTTTTTCACCAATTTGTTTCTTCTATCCTCTTTATTTTTTTCAGTAGAGCATAGTCTAAACAGATACTTATATTACAAATGTTTCAGATCCTAAATCTTGCACACAACAAGTCAGAGATTGAACGAAGAGTTCATGCTGTTATTGACAAATTTGCTGAACGCGGTTTACGGTCACTTGCTGTGGCATGCCAGGTAGCTGGAGTTCGACCTCCTAAGTTTCCTTAAGGCATCAAGCAATGATCTTTTACATAAAAAATTTAAGGTTGAATGTTCTTTGTCTTTATTCAGGAAGTTCCGGAAGGAAGGAAGGAGAGTAGTGGAGGTCCTTGGCAATTCGTGGGTCTCATGCCTCTTTTTGACCCGCCTAGGCACGACAGTGCTGAGACTATTAGGAGGGCTTTAAATCTTGGGGTTAATGTTAAAATGATTACAGGTAAGTTTTCGGGTTCTACTCAAGATTTCCATACTCATACAAAAATCTGTTCTTGTTTCTTGATATCGCTATCTGACCTTTATTCGTTCTTGATATTCGTTACCAAGATAACTTCTTGATTCTTTCTCCATGATTTTGATGATCTTGTCTTCTATTTACCTGAATAAAAGTGTTTTTTTTTTTGGGTTTTCCTTTCTTTAGGAGACCAACTGGCTATAGGAAAAGAGACGGGACGTCGTTTGGGGATGGGGACCAACATGTACCCTTCATCTGCTCTGCTTGGACAGAACAAGGATGAGTCCATTTCTGCTTTACCCGTCGATGACCTGATTGAGAAAGCCGATGGATTTGCTGGTGTATTCCCTGGTAAGTTTTTCGTCTTCATCTCGAGAAGCTTTATTTGAACGGAGTTCAACTCAAGAATCTTTACTGATTTCCTCCCTGTGATATTTTGCAGAGCACAAATACGAGATAGTGAAGAGGTTACAGGCAAGGAAGCATATATGTGGAATGACAGGTGATGGTGTGAATGATGCACCTGCCCTCAAAAAGGCTGACATCGGCATTGCGGTTGCTGATGCAACCGATGCAGCCCGTAGTGCTTCAGATATCGTTCTTACCGAACCTGGCCTTAGTGTCATCATTAGCGCTGTCTTAACCAGTCGTGCTATCTTCCAGAGGATGAAAAATTATACTGTGAGTGTGTTTTACATATTTTCTTCCTAATCTCTGGAATACTTCCTCTTCCAGACCATGAATCTTGTTCGATGCATACATTTCCTGTTAATCTGTTGCTCGGTAAATTGATTAATTTATGTTGGTTGGTTTTCGTTTATTCTGCACAGATCTATGCAGTTTCCATCACCATCCGTATTGTGGTATGTTGAGATATGATCTTCTTTCTTCGGTTTTTAACTATTATCTTTCTCTGGTTTCCCATTTCAACTTAAGTTTCATGCGCTTTTAAGCTAATCTGGACCTTTGTTCTATGCAATTACAGCTTGGGTTTATGCTTCTGGCTCTCATATGGAGATTTGACTTCCCACCCTTCATGGTTCTTATCATTGCCATTCTGAACGATGGTTCGTACCTAACATCTCTACTTTATGATCGATATGCCCATCTCACGAGAAAACATCAGTGGTTTTACTATCATGATCTAAATATTTGACTTATCGAGATTTTGATTTGTTTGTTTAGTATTTTTTTCGCATTTGTTATATTAGATTGATTCTTGAGTTTTCTGAGGTTTCAGGTACAATTATGACAATATCGAAGGACAGGGTGAAACCTTCACCTCTTCCAGATAGCTGGAAGCTGGCCGAGATTTTCACCACTGGCATTGTTTTCGGGAGCTACATGGCCATGATGACTGTTATATTTTTCTGGATTGCTTACAAAACCAATTTCTTCCCGGTATATTCTCATTCTCCTCCTCCCCGGAAATCTTACTCTCATCTGAATATTTTCCTATCTTTACTCTTGTTTGAACTCAACTCTAGGTGTTAACAAATAGGAAATTCCTTCTTTTTCTGCATCTTTTTCGACCGAAATTTCATATTTGCATTTCAGCGAGTGTTTGGAGTTTCGACACTTGAGAAAACAGCTCATGATGATTTCCGGAAGCTTGCCTCTGCGATTTACCTGCAAGTTAGCATTATAAGTCAGGCACTTATATTTGTCACACGGTCACGGAGTTGGTCTTATGTCGAACGTCCTGGTTTATTGCTCGTGATAGCCTTTATCATCGCCCAGTTGGTAAGTTCGCCATAATACTTACCGATTGCTCATTCGGGTATCGAAAAGATTCAGCGGGCAAACTTCTCTGGTCATTTATATTTCTTGCAACATTTGTTTCATCGTTCTCTAACCATTTTTCTTTCAAACAGATTGCTACACTAATTGCGGTATACGCAAACTGGAGCTTTGCTGCAATAGAAGGGATTGGGTGGGGATGGGCCGGAGTCATATGGCTTTACAACATCATATTCTACATCCCTCTCGATCTCATCAAGTTCTTCATCCGCTATGCACTTAGTGGCCGAGCTTGGGACCTTGTTATCGAACAAAGGGTACGTTTCTTTTTTCGTAAAGATTCTCTCTTTTCTACTCGAGATTCCAGCGGTGGTCTGAGAGCAGTTAGTTGGATTGTGTTCAATAGATCGCGTTCACAAGGAAGAAGGACTTCGGGAAAGAACAAAGGGAGCTTCAATGGGCTCACGCCCAGAGGACGTTGCATGGGCTGCAGCCACCGGATACTAAGATGTTCACTGAGCGAACCCATGTCCACGAGCTTAACCAGATGGCTGAAGAAGCCAAGAGACGAGCCGAAATCGCTCGGTAACTCTCTTGATCTCTCTCTCGATCTTTCGATCTCTCTCTTTTCATCGTGACTTTGATCACTGTTCTCTTTGAAAAGGTTGCGGGAACTTCACACGCTGAAGGGTCACGTTGAATCGGTGGTTCGACTGAAGGGGCTCGATATCGAAACCATTCAACAAGCCTACACTGTCTGAGAAACACTCCCCCGTCTTCCCCGAAATCTCCCGGCTCAAACCACCTCGATCGTTCTGAAGTTACGTCAGGCAAGTTTCGGCACGTCAGATCGATATCTTTGGTGTTATAAATACGTGCGTTTGGTTTTTTAGTTTTCAAGTATCTGAAAAAGCTCGTGAATACATAAACATACATTTGCATATATTGTCTGAATGGTTAGTCCTTTTGATGAGACAGAATACTCAAACATCGTACAGTTTGGAAACTGTTGGTTAATGTTTTTTTTTTTTAATTTAGTTTAAATTTTCTCAGTATCTTATCGGATTATATTTTAACAAAATATCCAAATATGAATTTTGATCTTGTTTGAAGTAATTGGACATTAAACGTAAGATATAATGGACACCACTTTTTATTTCTTCCATACATAATATGGGTTTGGTTAATATAATCCCACTTCTCTACCACGAGAAGACATTACAACAAGAGAGGAAAAACGACTTTTGAGAGAGAGAGAGAGAGAGAGAGAGAGAGAGAGAGAGAGAGAGAGAGAGAGAGAGAGACGACCAAAAAATAAGTCTGAGAATGAAGATTACGGGACATTGAAACTCAGTGTCATCAGACAGAGATCTTGTCCTGCTGGTTCTTGGTGGTATCTCCATTTGTCTCATATATCTGCTCTTCACTGCCTTTATACCTATACCACTTGGCCATGACCAAGAAATATGCAAAGTTTACTGCTAGAATCCCTGCAATCATGAAATAGTAGTAATCTAATCTTCCCTTGTTCAGATCTTCAGCCAACCAGTTTCCCGTTGGCGTTTTCCTTGTCGTTTTATGGACCGTCGATATCAAGAAGCTGCTTAAGTAACCCGAGATTCCCGTCCCCACGTAGAAGATAGAACCCGCGAAACTTCTCATGTTCTCGGGGAATTGCTTGTAGTAGAACTCCATCTGCCCAATGGCCATGAATGCCTCTGCAATTCCTGCAATGGTGAGTTGTGGGATCAGCCATAGCCCCGAGAAGGACGAGATTGCGCCCTTTCGGGGAGCCATCCCGAGCGTCGGCTTTGTCAACGCTATGGTCCTCCTCCGTTCTTCCACGATCCCCGAGACCACCATGCTCACCACTGCAAATGCTATACCAGTTCCCATCCTCTGTAAGATTGTGATCCCGGTGTCCTTTCCCGTGAGCCTTCTCATGAACGGGACAAAGAGACGGTCGTAAATTACGATGAAAACCGTCATTCCTGTCATCAAGAACACGACGTAGGTGGCAGCCGGGATCTGGAAGTCCAAAGAGCCTAGCCGCCTGTCGCTCTGAAGAGCCTGGAACACTGGATACGTCATCTGCTGAGTTATGGCTAGGAAGTAAATCGCGGCTGCAAACCAGATCGGGAGAACTCTCAGAATGCATTTCATTTCCTCGACTTGCTGCATTGTACAGAGCTTCCATGGCTCGGCCGGCGACCCATCAGGGTTTAACCTGTCCTCGGGGGTCAAGATCGCCGCTTTGTCAAGAAACCTGCCAAAAATCGCAGAGAATATCTCAGAAAACGAGCTGGAAAACATCAAATGTTTCAGAGAATCTTCGAAAGAAAAACTTACGTGAACTGGGCGGTGTATCCAAGGCTCGAGTTAGCGTACTTTGGCGGAATGTAGTTGAAGAGATTAAGCCAGGGCTGCTTCACCGGCTTCAATCCCCGCTTCTTGACAGCAACCACTATAACTTGAGTTATACCGGCCAAAGGACTACCAGACGCTTTCACTTTCACGTACATTTTATCACCCGCAAAGAAGATGAGACAGGCCAGGAACATGAGAATAGCCGGGATGGCTAGACCGATGGTCCAGCTAACGTTGGACTGTACATACACAATCAGCGTCAAGGACACGATCTGAGCGAACGTGAAGGTGAAGAAGTACCAGTTGAAGAAAGTGTCGACCCCTCTTTTCCCTGACTCGGTTTTCGGGTTAAACTGATCGGCTCCAAAGGCTAAGTTGCATGGTCTGATACCACCGGCTCCTACCACGAGAAATCCCAAACCCATCAACAAAAACGCTATCTGCCCGGCATTTGGCCCCTGACATTCGCTTCCCTGCTTCGTCCCGCAAGGAGTTGGGTGTAGAGATGGGATTGCAGCTGTTAGTTGTATCGCCAGTGATCCCTTCAAGGAAGGAAAAACAGACAAGAAACCCTTGAGAACTTCAGAACAGAAAACAATCAAACACCCATGAAAGCTTCTGAAAGGGGGATCATTACCAGAAAACAAGCGATGACAGCGACAGTGAGTGTCTTGTAACGGCCGAAGTAAGTGTCGCAGAGAAAAGCGGCGATGAAAGTTCCGAAGCTGATGGTGCCACTGAAGGCATTGATGAGAGTCGCTGCTGTAATGCTCTTCATGTTAAAGACTGACGTAAGATACACCAGGAGGTTCGATAACGTCCCTATTATCCCCAGCTTCTCGAATGTCTCATTCCCTGTTCCAACCCACACAAGAAAAAACTCTCCTCAGATCCAAAAATGATGCAATGTTTCTCATAATTGAATTTCATCATCAGAACCAACATGGGTTTCCATAAAGTTTCATTCTTTACATCTGATTAGTTCATAAATTTCATGGTTATGGGTTTGGTTTCATATGAATCTGTAGTTGCTGTGTCCTTAGTAAACCATATTTGTCTTGAGCAAGGAAAAGTCTTTGATTTCAGACACAAAGTGAGGGTAAACGCGTGATTTGTAGGCGATTAAAATATTTATAAAAAAAACTTATTAAATTCGAGGATTAACAAAAGGAAAGGGTTGATCCACAGATCCGATCCCGACGCTCGAGTAAACTCAGGAAAACAACCCATCTGCTCAAAATATCAATCGTTTTATCCATTAGATGGCTTCCTAAGTAACAGCGGACCACAAATCCTCAAACTAAGATCATCTTAGCTACTGAAATTTTGTGGATTATCCACACAAATGATTCGATAAAAGATGAGTGCTGAAGATATTTTGAACTGGGTTTCATCAAAAGCTGAAATCTTGACGAGCTCTGTTTCAATTGTTCTGCCCATACACACGATAAGAACTCCAGTTCGAGATCTCTCCTCCGTCTGTTGGGTTCTCGGACAAATGGAAGAGGAAAGAACAAGAAGGAAAGGTCGAACTTGAAACCCTCGTTTCGTTTAAATACCTTTTTGTCGTCTCTAAACTCCACGAGGAAAAAAAGGAAAAACTTTAAAAAAAAAAAAAAAAGAAACAGTCGCAAGAAAAAAAAGGGGAAAAGGGTCCGAAAGAAAAAAACCATACCAATAATAAAGGGCATGACTTTCCACCCTCTGTAGACGACTTTCTCCGGCAACTCCTCGGCCGCAGAGCCGCCATTGCCGTCGGAGGGTTTGTGATTAGTCTCGACCTCGAGGGCTTTTCTCTCCATATTATCAGAGATTCTCTCTCCCTCTCTCTCTCTTACACCAGTTGTTGTTGTCGTGGAGATTGTTCTTATCCGTCTTGTCTCGGTGGAGGATGACTCTGTGTCTGCATCTGCTTGCACCTGTCTCTTATTTATATTGTGGGGGAAGAGAGAGAGAGAAGAAGATGAAGTCGGAGATGAAAATGTCGGAATCTCCACACGGAAATGTGAAATTGTTAAAAATTTGTCGTGAAAGGGACCTCTGAACTCTGTTTTCTTTTTCTTTTTCTTTTTTTTTTAAATAAAATTCGATTTTGGGGTTAATAAATCATGCTTTGTGTTTAATAACAAAATTATTCTATATTTTTTTTGCTGATTCCCTCATCTGTTTTAGCCACTGTAGTTTATGTTCTCTCTGTCCATCTTAACTCAAATAATTCTTAAAAAAATGTGATTTTTTTAACCACAATTAATTTCTTATTATTATAATTTTCTCTACAGTTTTCAAATTTCGAGTGTTTTTTATTGTTATTTTCTTTGCGTAAAATTTTTCTAATGATTTATATTTCATTATTCTATAAATGGGCTGCCAATTCCCATAACTGTGCATTATTATTGGTCATGCCAAAAGGCAATACTTGTTGGTAGCGAGGGTATATAAATAGAATCATATATTTATCTACATAATTAAATAACCAATTACGGAGTTTTACAAAATCGTTGAAGATAAATTATGAAGCAAGATAAGGGATTGAGTTTCACTAAGGAGACAAATGTCGGAAATGTGTCAGCGAAATAAATGTGAATATCTCTATATAGTGAAGAAATCATATGTTATAAATTTTAAATAGCATAGGGAAAAGCTTGTCGTTGAATATTTTATGACTGCACAATGCATTATCAACATATGATATATATATATATATGTGTGTGTGTGTGTGTGTATATAACTTAATTTAAATGCTAACAACGGCCGCACAAGATTCTTTTATTCTGTTATCTTTAGACAATGCTAATGTATTGTCATTCTTGTTACTTAGAATCTTGAATAAACTACAGTTCAATTCCATGGTCACGACAAAAAATTATTATATGGTTTGTACTATGTAACTTTTCAATTTGTAACCTTAATTATCTCTATAATAATATTACGAATTGCATACAAGACTCATTGTATATATGATTTAGATATATGATATGATCGATGTATGTGTATATATGTGGTTTGGGAACATTTGGTTTTCCCACAATAAAAAGATGTAATAATCACTCGTTGAATATTTCCATATATTTGTCCCAATTTGGCATATGATTTTATCACCTACCAACAATGTATCACATCCCCCACAAATTTTGCGGGGTTGGACCCACCATATACAATAGTCACCATACTGTTTTTTTTTTTTTTTTTTGTCTTGGTGAATGAATGATATTAGTGTTGTTAATTAGTTATATAATTATGAAAAAAAAAGACAAATTTCATTTATTTTCCTTTGTAATCGTTCGCTCATGTAAGACCAAGATACGACGGGTCCACATTGGTTCGTTCGTGATATGTTAGGTGTATGATATATATATATATATATATATATATATATGCTGTGGATTTAGCGTGTTTATAAAAATTATGGATGAAATTAACAATAAATTAACGCGTGTGTGTGTATATGTGGACAAATTTGACACCTATTTTGACTTGTCGAAAGCAAATGTATGAAATTAACAATAATTATCGTGTGTGTGAATATTTATAACTTGATAAGAAACTTTGGGATAAAAATTTATGCAGACGTCTAAAATTTTAAATTAGAATATTTGAATTTCTGGTCAATTAAGACAAAGGATAGGAAATAACAGATAATTAAGGATAATCCCAGCTCGTCGACCAAAAGTCTCTCAAATAATTTCATAGCCTAAATTCTTATCGGTGAAAATAAAACTTCAATGTTTGTATGTATGTATGTATGCATGCATGTATGTATGTATGTATGTATGTATGTATGTATGTATGTATGTATGTATGTATGTATGTATGTATGTATGTATGTATGTATGTATGTATGTATGTATGTATGTTCCATGTTATGTATGTATGTATGTATGTATGTATGTATGTATGTATGTATGTATGTATGTATGTATGTATGTATGTATGTATGTATGTATGTATGTATGTATGTATGTATGTATGTATGTATGTATGTATGTATGTATGTATGTATGTATGTATGTATGTATGTATGTATGTATGTATCATGTTTATTCCATGTTTATATAAATTACATATAATAATTAGATACATAAACAAAAACAAAATAAATTAGGAAAAAAGGGTTTCTGTTTTTTTTTCCCTGTAAAATATACAAAGAGTTTTATCTTTCTATCTCTCTCTATATGCGTTTGTGTATATATGTATTACATATGGACCACCGGAGCAATAAAACCGGTCGACAATAATATATATTTTTTATCTGTATTGTATATTAATATATGATATTTATGATTGTGTTCATATTGGTACGATAATGACGACAAAGCCCTTCACATGCGGTTCGGCACTAAAATACGTCATTGGACGAACCACGTATTCACATCGCTTGACAAAAATAATAAAGAATACAGCCCACAAGAAGAAAATTACAATCATATCGTCCTCTTAAACTTTATAAGTATATGATTTGAATCGCACAACATAAATTATCCTCCAATAATTTAATTAAACAATAATATTAGTTTCTCTCAAAGGTATCAAAACACATGAATAACTATTTTAAATCGGATTAGAAATAGATTATATTTCACCATCTCAATCAAACCATTATTGGTTGGACCATCATTTCACTTTGCAAATTGCAAGTAATGATAGATGATGATGCTTTGGTTGACTTCGAATCTGTTTGGTGACTGATTCGATTGAATATCCAAATGATTATAGCTTTTTTCATTCAACAATCCTTATCTTATAAATAAAATTCAATGGACCGTTGAAAAAAAATATATTTTTTCGATGGATAATAAGTTGTGTGTGTGTGTATATATATATAAATAGAGAGAGAAATAATTAAAATATGAGAAGGTTAAAACCATAATTCGAAAATTGCAGATTAAACCCCGTTATATTTAATATATTGATAAAAAAATAAGTAGGATTGTAGAAAGATTATATTTATAATTTTTGGTTAATTAATTTAACATGACATATATTATTTCATCATAAACAATTAAATTTATGTCGGGCAATGAGATTATGCTATTCTGACTATTAGACGAGTGACTAAACACCCAAGGAAATTAGCATCTAAACGATTTTATATATAGACCGATTTTTCAATATATATATATAATTCAATTATTACCATCACGAAATTCAAGATTACAAAAAAAAAATTTACATCATTGGATTATTTTATTCCATTTTTTTCTAACAGTTTCCATTAAGATAAGATACGGGCAATAGATATTGTTGACCAGTGATAAATTTATGTGACGAAACAAATGATAATCAACCGCATTTGATTCGAATATTTGCCTATTTGCATCAATGTTTCTTTATATAATTAGGTGAATTAAATTATACCGTGTTGTTCAATATTATAATAGTTTTTTTACCAAAAAAAAATTATAATAGTTTTAAATGGCTTCTAAACATTATATTAAAGTGCACCTATGCATATATTATACAATATATTCGGATTCGATTATTTCGGTTTTATAAAAATTATAACCGTTCAGTTTTTATATTAAATTTGGTTCGATTTGGTTTATATTAAATTCTATTACGACAAAAATACAGATTTTTTTAAAAGAAATTTACAAATTTTTCAGTTATTTTTTTTATTCATTTCGTATTTGGATTTAATTTTTCGGTTTTTAAAAAAATCATAATCATTCAGTTTTTTTATCAAATTTGGTTCGATTACGATTATATATTTCTCAATTCGGATTGATTCGATTATTCGGCCAAATAAGCAACCTAGTGGAAAGTGTGTTCTACATTCCATATATGATATGATCGATGTATGTGTATATATGTGGTTTGGGAACATTTGGTTTTCCCACAATAAAAAGATGTAATAATCACTCGTTGAATATTTCCATATATTTGTCCCAATTTGGCATATGATTTTATCACCTACCAACAATGTATCACATCCCCCACAAATTTTGCGGGGTTGGACCCACCATATACAATAGTCACCATACTGTTTTTTTTTTTTTTTTTGTC